AGGGTAAGCACTCAAAGGTGAAATAAATAAATAAATATATATATATATATATAGTGGGAAGCAAATGAATGCGCCAAACACAGCCACCGCTTGCGAACGTGCGGAATGAGTGAACCCCCAATTATCTGTAAACGGCAGAAATTGTTCTTTTTTTTTTGAGAAAACCATAGATGAACGACATATTGTAGGAAGGTGACATGGAGTGGGGTTTGTACTTCATCCACTCCGACTTCACGATCGCGTTTTCTCGCGTTCCGTTTGTCGTGGGCATTATTATTTAGGAACTCGAAGTGTAAAACTTTGTGGTTAGGATGGGGTGATCAATTCCAACAAGAAATCCCCCGCATTTACTGTTCCATACAGTTGGGAAATACGCATCTTATACCATTAAATGTTACCGTTTGATTGATTTGAGGTCAAAAGGAGTCTATACTTTTATCATTACACGGTTAAAAAACAAGTTAAAAGACGAAAGGGGATTGAAGATGAGATTTGAAAGGAAGGTATCTCGTTTAGACTCGCCCATCGCTATCAAAAGACCATATTAGAATTAGGCATGTTTCCTTTATAGAATTTCCACTATAAAAAACCACAAAAGGGGTATTTTAACTTCCCATAATCATCATAAACGCCGAATTGTTTACTGACACTCCATAGATATGTCGACCTCACCGTCTCTGAATAAGGAATAAGAGAAACATTTTATAAGAAATCAATTGTGTTATATAGGTTGATACATAGACCCTTATTGCTTAAGGTATAAAACAACGCAATATACACTTTTACAGATATCATTTCAGGCAGGTGGTCTTTGATTTTATTGTAATGTGTTCTTCTTACTCTCAGCAAATTATTCCACGCAACAGTGACAGTAAGGATTTTTTTGGTTACAACGACTTGGTAATTTCTTAAAATACAATTATACCTAAAGAATATTATGTATATATAAATATATATATATATACATTTAATAAAATTATATCGGAAAAAAACAATATAGATAATTAAATGAGCACCGATAAAAGTATGGTAATAGTAAATAGCAGGTGCGATTTCCTTTAGCATATTTAACCCTATCACCTAATTATCTATGTCCTTTTATTTTTTTTTATCTGACGAATCGTTTTCGTTTATAGAACTCATTCTGTAATTATTGTCTTAACCCCCTAATTAAAGTCAACTATCCACTAGTTAAAAATGCTGTATGTACCAATTACCATAATTAATATTGCTAATATGCAATAAGAAATACATCTAATGCGTAGCCACGTAAAGCGCCTTCCTGGAACCCCGATAATAGCGACTTTCCAGTATTTTAAACTTGATCGATCCTCATCCGGGTGTTCGACGGCGTAGTCAACATGGGAACGCATGACGCTTGGAATAATCAACACAATCCAGGTCGAAGGTATAGCGCCAATAAGAGAAAGGACCATATTTACGGCTTTCCCACCAATGCTAAATGAAATCACCCAAATTATGAGATTGATGCCTAAGCGAAGACCTAATCCCATTTTACTTCCCGGTGTACTTTTAATGACTTGATCAATCAACTGCATGGCGGACATGAACTGTACGGGGTAGGTAAAGACGATATTAATTATAAAAAAGACGCGAATGCTGAAGCCCCAGAGATCATGCTTCATTCCAGTCACTAATGAAGTCTCCAAAGTGCTGCCAAACGCGGAATATCCCATGATCCCAATCAAAAGATACGCCGCAATCACCAGCCCCAGTACCACAATCGTCATATTGGGAACCAATCTCTTTTGATTACACGCGGCGTGCACCGGCAATACAATCCCAATCCCCTCAAGGACCATCATGTTATTCGCGAGATTGTTAAACCAGCCAACGGGAATATTTTTACCGAATGCATTGCACGTTGGATGGGCTTTGCCGTGGTTATGATAGATTTCAATTCCACTGCGCACCACACAACTCAGCAACGCGTAGGTCACCCCAATCGTCGCCAACACCGAGGCCGAGGACAACACGGAAAGATTATGGGAAAAACACGTCATGGGAAATACCATAAGCAGCATCACGGTTGGCCAAACGAAGCCGGAGTATGAAAAACTCAACAACTCATCCATCGTGACCGAAAAGAGCTGGGAATACATCAAACAAAAGCCAAATTGGGTCAAGCAAAGTGCACAAAAAAGAAACCAACTCAAAAAAGGTCCAAAAACGTACCGGGAAATACTAGAGTAGGTTGTTGTATCGTTCCGATTAATCTTTAGCTTGGTTTGCAGTAATAGTTGTGTACAGTCTATCACAATCGTCCCAATCATTAGCCCCAGGAACACCGATGCGATGAATCCGGCATCTTTGTAGAAATTTGGTAATATGAATACTCCAGTGCCGACGTTGGCCTTAAAAATATGGAAAGCGGATTTGATGATATTGGTATTTTCTCTAAGTTCGCCAGCTTGAGGCTTTACACGTCTTGAGATATCATACCCTTCAGCATCTTGACTGTATGGTGCGGTATCAGCATCAATATCAATAAATTCTTTACCATGACCTTCATTTTTATTAAATGTGTACGACATTTTGTTTTCCGAGTTTGTTTTCTGAGTAGGATCAACATCTGGCGATTGATTATCCGCCTCACGATTTGGTCTGTCACTCATTTGTACGTGTTGTATATGATGTTCTTATTTGGTTTACTGTAATAGTATATAGAAGCCT